AAAAAGGAGATACTACTAAAATTTGGTACCAAATTTACTACCAACATTTTCTACAAACTTAATACAAAGAATGAAGCCAGGTGAAAGAGAAAATGGTCTCTCAACATCTTTAGTACCTGTCAGGCTTCAAGTATTAGAAATAGCCTGTATTAGCTTGAGACCTAAAGCCTTTTTTTTCCTGTTTGGATTTCCTTTATTGTGAACCCCAACAAGCTGTTTGTTTCATGCCTAAATACTAGCAGAGATTCTACAAAATCTTAATAGGAACAAATGTTCTGATGTGGTAAGACACTTGTTGTATGCACATAATATTCATCTCTCACAAAGTGACATTGCAGACAGGAGTATTGTCAATTGTGTTCTGGAGCTGCTAGCTGTATTAACTGCTGCTCATAATGATACATTCAGCTGACTTCTTCACCTTCTCTTGGGACTTTGCATCTTGTCTGATATCACTACCAGAAGTATAAAATATAAATTTGAGACTTTGCTGCCAACATATCCAAACATCTTGCATCTAGTATATCTGACAGAAAACAAATTAAATCTATTTGCTGAATTCACTGGCATGTGCTGTGCATTTTGGAACCTAAGGCCAGGTATAATTGATCAGGACTGGGTTTATACCCATAATAATAGAACAGAAGTTCAGCACACTTAGAGTGGTTTAAAAATGACAGAACACAGCCTAAGATTTGCCCTTGCCACCAAAAAGCAAATGTGTGTTCTGTTCATAAATGTACCTTTTCGTTAACTCTTTTTCATCATTACCCAACAAGGCTATATATTTAAAAATAAGTTGATGCCATTATTAACAACAGATCAATTTATCCAAGGAACAGTTCCTGCAGTCATGAATTCAAATACTTCCAACTACAAGAAAAGTTCTTGTTTGTTTATAAGTACTTTAAATTGGGCTATCAAGATGGGCTCTTGACTAAAGTAAGTAACCATATGACCTCATTACTATAACCCATCATTTTACCCACCTCATCTTCTCTCTACTGAAGATTACCTTTAGTAGTCATATCAGATGCTGACAAATGTGGAGAGGAGGGAACATGCTTTACTGGAAATAGAAGCATGTTACTTTGACCCTGTCTGCAGTGTCTGTAGAGACTGAGCATCTGAGCAGGGCTTTTTGGCACTTTTAGGCAAAGCTGATTGAATCAGATATTAGATAAAAATGCCAAAAAGCCCCACTAAAGCACCCAATCTCTACAGATGTTGGGAAAGTCAGGTGCAACTAATGTGCTGCTTCATCTGGGCATGTGAAGGGCTCAGTGCAGGAATG